TGAAAATGAAGTTCCATCGACACCACGTAGTAGTGAACAAGTATATGAGCAAATGAAGAATATTAATATTTTGTTTAGAAAGACACAAAAGTAGTCAACTGAGGACAAATATTTGGAAGAAATGATTTATATTCTCCAATCTTTGTTATTGGTGCAAATTGAATATTAAACATTATATAGATGTGATGCATGTAAAAAAAATGCTTGTGATAGTGTAATTGAGACATTACTCTACATAAAAGGAAAGACAAAAGATGAAATTAAAACATGACAAGATTTAGTAGACATGGATATACGTTCCAAGTATACATATCAAAATTAAAACCAATAGGAATTCCTACAATGAAACATGATAGAAGATGTGAACGTAAGGGTACTCGAAATTTAAAGATTAAAAATGTCAGTCAGAAAGAAGTTGACCAAGCGCATTTGTACATATTGAACAACCCTTACATATCACAATACATAAGTGAAATAAAGACAACACATCTGCAAATGAATGAAAAATGGGTATTGAATGAACATAACAAGAATTTCATTTTGTGGTTTTAAAAAGGTATACGATGAGGTTAATGCTTCATATACACTTACTTGCTCATGGACCTAACAATGATATCATTACATTTGGTGGGTATGTGATACACTCTGCTGCAGAATGCTCAAAGATTTTAACACTCTTCGAATGAGCGTCCACTCCTCAAGGAATTAAGGGAAAGAAGATAATAGAATTTGGAGGAAAAAGGATCTTGAAATTTTTATTCCACACCTGATTTGTTTACATCATAACTATTAAAAAGAATTGGATGCTAACAATCAGGAACAAAAAAAAAAGGAAATAAAACAGGAATTAAACTAACAATTTGGAACAAAAATTTCAGGAATTAATTTGAGCATATCAAGATCTTTTAATTTTTTCTTCCACAGACATAATCATTCATCCATGCTGACTTCTTTATTACTCGTTTCCCTAATATTGGGCCATCATTCCTTATTAGATCTGGATCAACTAGTTGGTTTGTATCAATATGACATTTAAAACTATTGTTTATACTAAAAAAAAATAAAAGATGATAAAAGTATAGTACAAAATAGTGATGTCACAATTCATGTAGAGCCTATATATTGTATTGTTGTATATTGTATTTTGGAGTGTTGTGTTTATTGTATTGTTGTATTCTAAATTGTTGTTTCTCTAGAATCTAAATTGTTTGTATTAAAAGTATGTATATAGATTTTGGTTGTAAGATAAAACAAAATGAAAATAAAAAAATGGGTGAAATTTACGTCAGGTGTGTAATTTTTGAAACCCATTTACATTTGTTCATTTGTTTTTCTAGCATAAATTGATGTCAATTTTTATAAAAGTATGTGTAAGGTAAAAATGTCAAAATAACATACATAAAAAGTTATGTTTGCACTAATGTTTTTATCTATAATAAGATATTGGGCTGAAGTAAAACATAACTTCCACTGTCTTAAATATATTTAGGAATATGAGTTTTTTTATCCAAATGTTCAAACTTTGATCTAATAGGTTATACATATGGATTCTCCCTTGGGAAACTCAGGTGTGATTTTTTTATAGATGGATTATGAGCTTACCATATAAGAAAATCTCGTACCACTTCCAACAAAAAAAAAAACTTAAAAAATTTGGTTTTTAATTTTTCTTCTCATATATTATTCAACTCGACCATTCTTACTCAATGTAAGATTTTTTTTTCAACATCCCCCCAAAATGTGAGTGTCACCCACATTGATCTCCGATTGTAGTATTTCTATTAATGAATCCTTTAGTGGCTAATACTTATCTTATCATTCAATACAATGGAACATACTTTAACCTCTTAAAGGAATACTTTCAATACAAAGGATATCGTCATCACTTCATTATGGAATTACTTATCTAAGATGACTCTAATTGTTGGATTTTCCTATAGGAAATATTAAGGAGATCTTTTTATCAATAAGTTATGAATCTACCTATCATATAAGAAAACTTGATATTGTTTTTACCCTATAATTGTTCATTTTACTCATTTTTATATAATGTGTGATTTTCACTCAAATTTAATTTTCAACAATGTAAATATGAGTTATTTATTTGATCCTCATATTAATCTATAAAAAAAAAGATATTTATTCACAATTAATATTGTGTTTTCATAACAATATGTAAAACCAATGATACCATCATCATCTTCAAAACATGCAAAATTTTAACATTAGATAAGACATTAATAAATATGTTTAATTAAGATTTGTAAGTTAACATATTAAAAAATATTTATGGTCTATCTCTAAAAAATTAATTATGGTCTATCTCTAAAAAAAGAATGATATTTATGAAAATAAGTTTACATTATTGAAAGAAAAATATATTAAATGAAACATAATAAAATATATTTTTTCTAAAATTCTTTTTTTTTTACTTGTGACTCTCCGATGAATAGTAATATAAAAATTTGAAAGGTTCTTTCATATGAAACTTTGACCGACTTGTTTACAAAATCTTTGCCAAAAAAACTTGTAAGAAATTGATCACACTATCAGACTTTATCTTCTTAATAATTCGATTTTTCATGAAGGTAAAAATAAATATGTTTTACATTTTAACTAGGAACGATGTGTCTCTTTTCTTCATTACTTTTTTAGTCTACATAGATTTTTCTAATAAATTTTTTAATCAGAATATTTTTAATCACTGGATATTCAAAGATAAATGTTATGAATTATTATTAACTATTCATTGCCGTTATTAATCTATATATAATTTAAAAATTTATAATATATGTGTTGCATTTTATACTTATATAATGGTATTTTATTTGGTGATATTTAAAGAATATGCTTATTTATTTATTTTTCTATCTCTACTGTAGAATTATATTTCATAACAAAAATAAATTTTGGTTATATTAAATTTTTTGAATAAAAATAATGCAAAGAATGATTTTTGTTGTGTTATTTTTTATAGAAAAAATTAATCTATGAAGAGAAGTTTCTATTATGTTAAATATTAAAAAAAATAACAAAGCAAAATTTTCAAAAGAAATTAATACGTCGGAAATTGGTCTATATTGTGTATTTTAAATTCACACACCTCAGCACAACGGAAACAAGGTTCGGCTTAGTTGAAAAATTAATACAGAAGAACATTTCTATTATAGATTTTTTTTTTTTCACAATAAAAATAAAATCAATTGGTTGAAGATTTAAATAGCAATGAGAGGTATGCAAAAGCAATTTCTATTCAAAGCCCAATTCATTGCCTTGTAAATTCAATGGCAATTGCTTTTTGCACCTCCTAATTGCTTAAATCACTTTTCAAAATCCTTATATTTTAAAAAAATTTATCTGGAATGTATTAAAAAAACATTTAGATTAGCAGGAGAATTCCAAAAAAATCATTATGAAATGAGGTTATGATATGCATTCTGGACTGCATAATTCAAAATTAATTTTCAATTATTACATATTATTTATTTTAAAATACGTTATAATATAATAGAATTTATTATTATAAAATAAGATTTCCAAAACTGTTTAAAATCTTTTATGGAATATTTATTTTAGAATTACTTTGAAAATGTAAATTCTGGAAAGTATATAGGATTGAAAAACCAAACAAAAAGAAAACGAATTTGTAATATAAATATATATATATATATATATATATATATATATATATATATTAAGAATACAAAATACAATAAATTATTATTTTTAATCTTGAATACTTATTTTAAGATGGATAAATAATAATTATTTGTAAAACGTTAAAATTTATTTTAAGTGAGACATACCAATATTATTATATTATAATATTAGTATAATTTAATTACAATATTAATATATGTTATTTGTAATAATTATTTAACCTTTTATCATCGTATAAATAATAAAATTTATTGGACTAATGTTTTTAAAGAATATCATTGAATCAATGAATATATGAATTCATGTTTTAAAATTGAATCGGATTTAATTATGTTTAATAAATAATTATTTTTATTACATAATAATATAATAAATATAAAATAAAATAAATAATAACAATAATAAATATTTATGATTATTATAAATAATAATTAAGGTTAAAAAAGTATAAAATATATTAAATAAAGAAAGACTAATAATTGTAAAAATAAAATGAAAATATAATAAAATAAATATTATTTAAATGAAAAAAATTGAAAAAAATTATATTGTTTTATAAAAAAATATCTTTTAAGAAAATAAAATTTTTTAATCTTAATTTTTTTATTAAAATTAATTGAAGGAAAATCTTAATCAATTCTCTTGATTTTAATAGTTTTGTATCGATTTTTTTTTATATTGATTCATTTAAAATGTAATTATTTATGAATAATTAACTGATTTCTAAATTACATCTCGGTTAAATATATTCCAACCTATTGATTTTGGTTTTTAAATAAAAAATTGGACAAATATAAAGTGACTTAAACATTGGTGATCATGAACCTTCGTATTAAGATATGTATGAGAAGATACAATTAATCAAGATTTGCATATTGAGATTATAGTACTGGTATATTATTTGTTTCAAAAATAATCGTCAAACAATACAACTTTAAATAGAGATGTAAAAGATAAAAACTTTTTAGAACACTAAAATAAAAAATATCAAATAAAGAACCTAAATTATTTTGTTTTTAATTTTCTGGTCTATCATTGGAAAGTTAGAATCTGACTGTTTCTTATGGTTTGTTCCAAATTAAGCATACGTGGATATAGCTTCGTTGACACTGTGCTTGACCCGGAATTCAAAATCCTCAAACCCAAAGCACTTTGGGCCGAGCGTAAGATTCAAAAAGGGTTGGGCCCAGCCGAAACCGGAGACAAAAATGGCACCGAGTTTACTCATTCGGAGACATTTTTGCTTTGATTTCTGAGAGATTCGTGGTTGTATAGAAGAGGGGTAATAATCGCAGGGCGAGAACGAACGAACGAACGAAAGAGAAGGGTGAAGAAGAAACATGTTGAGGGTTGCAGCTAAGAGGCTCTCCTCGCTCTCCTCCTCTCCGTGGAGGGCCAACTACGCCGCCTCAGCGGTTCTCTCACAGAGCCCCGTCGCGCCGCCCTTTTCCTCAGAGGAACGCAGATCCGACTCGTTTTCGCTCCGACCGGAATCCTTCCTTCCTTTCAGAGGTTAGGATTTCCCTTCCCCACTGTTTTTTTTTTTATTGATTCATTCGAAGCCTGATTCGTTTCGCTTGTAATTTTTCTGTTTTGATCGTTCTGTTATTTGAGTCTTAGGGTTCTTCTCCGTATCATTCTTATCCTTGATTCGATGCCTTTTTATTCTTATGTTGGTCTGTAAAGCTTAATTCTTTTTTATGATCGATGTACTTGTGGGTGATTTACATAAGTAGGTTTTAGTATTCGGAGGCATTTCGCGTTTGTTGATTGCGTGTTCTTCGTGGTCAAATGTTCCCTTTGGGTGATAGGCTTTGGATTTCTGGAGAATTTTTTTATTAGAACGTGGCGCGGGTTTTTCCTCTTGGAATTGTGAATTTGGATTTCGAGTTATATTTTTGCGTCTGTTATTTGATATCTTCACTTTGTAGATCACTTATTTTTCTTTTTCATTCCTGGATGAAAATCAGTTTGAGTTTTCTGTGCTCTATTGGTTTGCAGAAATTTAAGCAAACTGGTTGTAACTAAATGTTTCAAGGTCATATATTCCTGTCTATGCAATTTTAATCCATTCTGATGGAAGGGTAACTCATTCTGCTTTTATGACGGAAGTTTAGTAGCTGTTTGATGACATTGTTTATAGAAACTAGAAGGGTTATATGTGATAGTAGAGAATAGTAAGGACGGTTTTCAACTCCATCGAATTTTGGGGAAATGAAAGGGTGGGGTAAGGGTTATTCATTTAGGAAATGTAAAGAAAACCCTAATGAGTGTTTTTCCTAGTGTTACGGACGTAAACTAACAAGTCAGATAAGTTACTACCTAATCTTTTTTATTCTTCTATTTGTGGTACTACTAATTGGTAAAGTTTTATTCCTATCTTTAAAACTTGATTTGTACGAATTCATGGGGTTTATTGTCTTGCGATTTTGATGCTGTCTGTAAGGTAATATTTTTTAAAATAAGATAAAAAGGAAATAATGTAAATAGTTCCTAAGTTGTGATTCTTCTGTGTGCCATATGGTATCTGTTTGTATCATCACTATAATTTGCCACGCTTCTGTAAGTCTTGGCAAACTTCTCCATTAACATTTATAGGAAAAGAAAATATGAGGAAACTGAATAAGAAGTTAATTTATAGTAGTTTTCTCCTTTTATCTTCTCCAAGAGTTTAACTTTTGCAGAGAATTTATCGGAAAATTTATTTTATTTTTCTTCATATTTTCTTATAGTGCTTGTGAAGATATTTATCCAAAACAGGTTCTATATTACTGGATCAATGATTTATAGAAAAAATATGTGTGAATTTTATTATTTATTAATTATGCTTTTTATTTACCACTCTTCTGTCTCAATGAATGAATAGTTTATTGCCAAGTATTTATGAATATTGTTATTCCTTAACTAGACTTGTGTATTCTGGTGGGCCTAATATGCAGTTGCATGTTGTTACTTTGGGGGGTTTTGTTTTGTAGTTTTAAACTGTGATTTGTGCATATATTGATTCTTTGGGTTCTGCTCTTATTTTAATTGATATAATTTTAACTTGTCCAGGTTTTGCTACTGAAGCTCTTATCCACTCTAGAGAAAATAGCCTTATTCCTGAAATTCCTGCAACTGTCACGGCTGTTAAAAACCCTTCTTCTAAGATTATATATGATGAACACAACCATGAGCGATTTCCTCCTGGTGACCCAAGCAAAAGGGCATTTGCTTACTTTGTCCTAACTGGTGGTAGGTTTGTTTATGCCTCTTTGATACGTCTCCTTGTCCTCAAGTTTGTGCTCAGCATGTCAGCAAGTAAGGATGTTCTTGCTCTGGCTTCACTGGAAGTTGATCTCTCCAGCATTGAGCCAGGCACTACTGTGACTGTTAAGTGGCGTGGAAAGCCAGTATTCATCAGGCGCCGAACAGAAGATGATATTAAGCTTGCAAACAGTGTTGATGTTGCATCTCTCCGGGATCCCCAGCAGGATGCGGAAAGAGTTAAAAACCCTGAATGGCTCATTGTGATTGGGGTGTGCACACATCTGGGTTGCATTCCCTTGCCAAATGCGGGTGACTTTGGTGGATGGTTTTGTCCATGCCATGGTTCACATTATGATATTTCTGGCAGAATTAGGAAGGGACCGGCACCATACAATCTAGAGGTACCAACTTATACCTTTTTGGAGGAAAACAAGTTGATGATTGGTTGAAAACCTTGGGCTGGTTCCAGGTGGAACGAGTCCACAATTTTTTTGATTTATTGGATAATGTCGAAATGTGCCATGGATATCTTTGGCCATGGACTTTTTATTTTATGTTTAGCAAGTGTTTGTTACTCGGAAATTTGAGTATTACTGCATAACGTGACTTTGTATCAATAATCGCCCGACTTTTTGCTTCTATGAATGTTCAAAATCTGATGCCCTCAGGCTTATGTTGCGTTGTATTTTGCATTTCATGAATAGCATTTGTAGATCTGCTCAGCAAATAGGTTTGCTTAATACGGCATTTTGCTAATTGCTTGTGCGTACAATTACCACGTGGTGTCTTGTGTAGTTTATTTGATCATTTGGCTTAACTAGAGTTCCCTTGTGTTTTCGACCTGCTCATAACCGTTTGAACAACGATCTCTGATAAGGTTCCATCTTGGCCACACCTGGCACCGTTATGTCTTCTAAGAGTATTTACAATACAAGGGTCTTATATACTTATAAGAGATTTTATCTTGCTTTAAATGAGTTTTAATGTTTTACATCACTTTCAAATTGATTCACACTCTGTTTTTACAACTTCTGTTCAAATAGGCTTATATAAAATTCAATTCTTGATTTTAAGATCGTTATCATTGTCCTATCGATGTTTCAATAGGAAAATTCTTATGAAATGTTTTAACCTTTCTAGAAACGTAAAGTATTTTATTTATATCAATTTCCTTTGTGATCTAATCAAACACTCTTTTTAAATATAACTTATACCTCTTACAAGATAATATGATCTTCTAGATCTAAGACGCGGAGCGTGAGACAGTATATTTGAACTTCCAAACAGTTTTATCATGTTAAATTAAGTTAATTCAGTATTTTGGAATAGCTTTTACAAAAGTGATGTTTCAATAGAATTCTAAAAGTTCTTTTATATAATTACTATTAACAAATAAGAACTAAATGATTTAAATGTTTAAATTACCATATTTAAAATTAACAAATTTGTCTTTTCTCTTTTATTAATAAAATTATGTTTATTTTAACTTTTTATTAAAAATTATTTTTTATATGGTTTTTTCCTTTTCTTTTATAAAATATATCTCTATTATTATTTTGTAAAAATAAATGCTTATGATAAAATATCCATATATATATATATATAAAAGAAAAGAAAAGGTAATATATCTGTGCATGCATAAAAACCTATGAGAATAACACAAACATGGCCCCATGTTATAGAGAGAGATGGAAACATAGAGGAACCTCGTTTTTCTTCTCTAGATTTTCAGATGCTTATGGTGTAAGGGATATATGGAAAATTTTTACAAAATGGGGAAGGGTTATTAATATATTCATATCCCAAAAAAGAAACAAACTCGGTCAGCGCTTTGAGTTTGTGAGATTCACAAATGTGGGAAATGTCAACCAAATGGAAAGAAACCTATATGGTATTTGAATTAGATCAACAAAGATGCATGTTAACATACTAGGTACAGAAGACACGAACTTCAGTCAAATCGGGTGAACATAGAACTAAATTGGGTGAACATTGAACCAAAAATTAAGCAGGTATGGAGGAGGAAAGTCGGTCATTGGTCATTTGCAAACATCGTGAAAGGGAATGAGGAAAATACAGCAAGCGAGGAAAAGTGGAAGGGAAGAGCAATGATAGTGGAGGAGAAAGTGCAGAAATGAATGAAAGACAGTTTTATCGCTGAAGCAGCGAGAGGAATAGGAAAGTCAGAAATTGAAAGTAACCTGTTTCTGAACGGTATATACAATGTACACGTGAAGGAAATGGGAGACAATCTATTTCTCATTAGCAGAAATTCGGTGGACGAACTCACAGGAATAATGGAAGCAAATTCTGAATGGCTTTCTAAGCTATTCACATCCATAATTAGATGAGACAAAAATATGGTGAGTGGAAATAAACAGGTATGAGCAAGATGCAGGGGTATCCCGATAGCTCTTTGGTCAGAAAAAACTTTCGAGAACGTAGTGTCAGTACTGGGAACTTTGCTAGACGTGGATGAGAAAACTAAAAAGTGGCAACGCTTGGATTATGCAAGAATTAAAATCAAAATGCCAATTTTGACTCAAGCAACATTGACTTAGAGGATAAAAATTAATGACAGAGTACACATGGTATTGTTAGAAGAAGAATGGACGGAAAAGGGATTCAGATGCGCTATGTGTGAAGGCAAAGACGATGAAGAGGAGGAAGAGTCAGAGTAGGCGCTAGAGATCATTCCATCAAACTCGGAATGCTCTGCGGATGAAGACGGGATCGGAAAGCGAATTTTTCCGGCCAGGGTTGGACAAAACTTCGGTGGAGGGAATTTCCAACCCAGCATGCCGTTGAAACTCAATGGTAAGAAATCTGAGGAACAGCTTGGCTCAAAGGCGGGTGCGTCAGATCGTATCTGCAAAAGAAGATACGCTAAGGTAGAGGCGATCAATGTTCACGCTAGCAGGAAAAAGTTTATCTTGGGCTTGAACGAGAGGGAGTGGGTTGGGCTTTTACACGAAGAACATATGCTGGCCCATTATCTGCAAAATCTGGAGGCCACGTGTACAACCAAATTAGATTTGGCTAGTTTTGAAATCGGGCCCGAGACTCGTCTTTCCCATGCGGTGGAACCAAATTGGAAGGCCAAATCCATAGAGAAGGGTGGTTCGGATCCTCCGCCCAAACTCTCGCTTGCACACATAACCAACTATACAGAGGCTAAGCAGGGGATGACTCTGGCAAAGGCTATCACCGTTGGAAAGGCATCGGAATCAAAGCGAGACGAAGAACATAATCGGAAGGAAAAGGCGTCAAAAGTTTAAGATGTGGCTGACTCTCACTCTCGATGTTCAAAATCGGAGGCAAACCGGTCCAACAAAGAGGTGGTCAGTGATTCACTCGTCCACGGTGCAGAGGAGGTGCTGGAAAGGGAAAGGGCATGACCAGAGATTCAACTGAAGAAGACGGAGTCGAACGCATTTTAGTGGAAGGCGAATGGGTGGATAAAGCATGCGATGTTCCTTATAGAACAAATCAAATTGGTCTTGCAGATAATTATTTGGTCAAGGGAAGTAAAGTAGATGCTGCCCGGAAAGGATCTGAGAGTTGGCGAGAAAGAAAGATGATCAGTGGAAGAGGGGAAACAAGCAACATTAGTCAGCCCAGATCAATTGCCTCGGCCAAAAGCTTGCACAAGGAGAAAATGTTAGATTTCTTCTCTGGTAATTATATTAATGATAGCAACATAAAAAATTGTAATAGGTTGTTCTGGATAAACAAAGGGTATTAGGAAGCAGTTAGATTATGGGAGATAGGGAGAGAGATAGGGTTCTCGTACGAAGGGGATAACAATTTGGTCATAAATAAACTAAAGGAGATAGATGAAGAGGGGAGATATAGTGATCCATGAGGGTGTTGAGCATAAATGTTAGAGGTATTAGGAGCCTTGGGAAAATTAAATACATAAGAGAATTGATAAACAAGGAAGGGATAGAGATGCTATGTATACAAGAGACAAAATTAACTAGACAGGATGAGAGTATATGTTACAACATATGGAACCACAATAATATTTAATGGGTATTTAAGCAGATAGAGAATGATCCAGGAGGAATTTTAAGCACCTGGGATGTGGATAAGTTCGAGTGTGAAAATATGGTTATAGGAGAAGGGCTAATAGCAGTAGCAGGAAAATATAAGAGAAAGAACATAAAACTGACAGTGGTAAAAACACAATAAAAAAACCTGAAGAGAGAAAAGGAAGTAGTGAAAGAGGTAGAGTAACGGAAGAAATGAGAAGATTTAATGAATTCATCCAGAAATTGGAGACTCGGGATTTATCGGTTGTTGGAAGGAAGTTTACATGGTATAAAACAGATGACTATTCAATGAGTAGGTTGGATAGAGCATTGATATCTATGGAGTGGATTCGCGAGTGGAAAGGGAGTAAACAATACGTCCTGGATAGAAGTATCTCAGATCACTGCGCGATAGTAATAAAAGATAATAACATATATTGAGGACCCAAACCCTTTAGATCTCTAGATGTATGAAATGAAGATAAGAGGTTTAGGGAGGAGGTAAAAGGGGCTTGGGAAGGTACAGAAACCATAGGTTGGGGAATTAAAAGCTGGTCCAAGAAGTTATAGATGCTTAAAAATCACCTAAAAAGATGGAATAGGGAAGCGTTTAGGAACTTGAATCTAACAAGACAAAGTATAATAAACAATATTAGTGTGATGGACCATAAAGATGAACTAAACCAGTTAGATGAAGAAGGAAAGAAGGATGTGCCAAATAGAATTGAGAAAAATAATGTTGAAGATTGCATCTATGGAAAAGCAAAAGATAAGAGATAGGTGGATAAAGGAAGGGGACATAAACTCAAAGTTCTACCACTCTATGATTAGATGGAAAAGAAGCAAGGTGGAATTACCAGGGGTTATTGTTAGATGGGTTTGGTGTCAGGAACTAGAAAGAGTAAAAGAAGAGGTCTTGCAACAATTTAAAACTAGATTCAAACGAGAAACAAAAGTGGGAGTCAAACTAGATAGGATTTCGTTTGAAGGAATAACTGATATACAAAATGAGGCTCTGGTTAGAGAAATATCTAAAGAAGAAATAAGGGAGATAGTTTGGAGTTGCGAAGGTAGTAAAAGCCCGGGGCCTGACGATTTCAATTTCAGATTCATAAAGCATAATTGGTCTACATTGAAGATGGATATAATTAAAGCCATTGAAGAATTTCAGAGGGAAGGAAATATACCAAAAGGATGCAATGCCTCGTTCATCGCACTCATCCCAAAAGTAGAAATCCTAGTGGAATTGGATGAATATAGACCTATATCTCTTATAGGTAGCCTGTACAAGATTCTAGCAAAGGTTTTAGCAGGGCGCCTGAAAGGAGTGCTAAATAAGGTAATAAGCGAGTCTCAATCTGCTTTCTTGGAAGGTAGAGGTCTCTTGGATAGTGTTGTGACTGCAAACGAGGTAA